CCCCCGCCCCCACTACGCTCCGCCACCCCACTGGGATTCTTGCTGCAGGGCCTAAAATAATATCCGATACCGGTCTCGGCAGCGGTGCGGCGGGAGCAGCCGTGACGCGGACGACGACGCCGGTCTCTGGCGAGTGAGTCAGCAATGACGACTCGCCGACTGACGACTGAATGACGATGGTAGTACGGCGACGGACTGACGGCCGCCAGCTAACTCCGGTCCGGCCCGGACTCGAAACGAAAATAACTCGTGGACGCCCCCGTCAGAGGACAACGCATTCTTGGACGCATCACTGCCTGACCTGACCCAGTTCTAGCTCGTCTTTGATGGCAAGACCCCGTGTTATATCCATCTGTGATCGGGTGTTCCAGGTAATCCAAAATAGAGCCCCGCAAAGAGCGAGCTACGCAAGCTAAATGCCTCCCGTCTCTCCCTTACCTTCCCCTACGTATTCCCGTTATCTCTTTAAGAGGTGTTGAATTATTGTGATTACTGCTGCCACTGTTATTCGTTTCACCAAGTACATAATATCATTCATTCATTCATTCATTCATTCATTCATCTATTCATTCATTCATTCATTCATCCATTCTACAGACAGTTGCAAGTTTAATATTAACAATTCATTTTCCTGCCAGTCTTAGTGGTTTTCCAACCTGCAAAGACCTTCTCTAAGAAAATCTTAATTTTTATTTATTTCTTAAAGAACGAAAACGTATTTCTTTGCGACGTGTTGTGCATTATGGCGGCAGGGCAGGCCCCCGGGCGTATAGAATTAGCTATCTTATTGGCAGCCAATGACGCCTTCCCCTCCCCTGCTCCGATGCCCCTTGGTCCGCTGCCAACTAGACGGCTGGCCCCGCGAGGCCCCCACAGCCAGGTGGTCCTTACACCGCTCGCAATTATTCCAACTGGCTGCCTGACGCGCCAAATGTTCCTAAACCGGAAGGCGTCAGAGCGTCGTCGTCGTCGCAGAGTTGTAGTCGCGCGCTTGAGCAGGCCAAGGAGGGCAGAAAAAAATTAAGGGGGGAAAAAACGTTGTTGGCAAAGTAGGGTGTTTCCACTCTCTCACGCTACTGTTTTGCTTGCCGTTGCTGCTCTTTTCGGCGCGAAAATGCGCACCGCGCCGAGCGACGTCTTGTAATTACTGCCGTCTCGGCGTCACGTCAGTGCCACGCCCCGCCACGCCCCGCCACGCCCCGCCACACCCCGCCACACCCCATCAGGCCACGCCACACCGCGCCAGATTGCAACTCTTGACACTTTGGCCCGAACGGGGTGGTTCAATTAAGGCCATGTTTGGCCGATATTCAACAATGACGACATTGTACCGCTCATCTTTCATTTTCTCCTTTCATATCCGTCCGATAATGGTGACTGATGTGTATGAATACAGATGGCTGGCGGTGAGGTTGCACATATGCGACGGGGACCAGCCACGGCGACCTCGCTTGCTGACGCCCTGTCTCCCCCGCCCCCGAACCCTTTTCACTGCCCCGACCCTCCCCCACGCACACAGCCAAGCTTTTCTTTCTCTCGGAACGAGCCCAACTTTCCTTCTTCTTCTTCCAGTTGGAAACACAGCAGCAAGTAGCAGCAGCTCTGGGCTCCCGAACCAGTGGCGGATCGGGAGTGTGTACGAAAGAGATCGCAGCTCGTGGAGTGTTTTGTAGGGGAGAGAGAGAAAGAGAGTGCGCGAAAACGCGCCAGGGAATCCTTGCCCCGGCCGGCCCCCTCCTTTAGACAGCGGTCTCTCTCGCACGTCCCCGTCCCGCTGCCCGCCGCGCCGCTGCCCCAAACTCCGCGCTGCAGTGGCACTGGGCAGGGCGCATGGAGGGGGCGGCGCTGTGGGCAAAGTTTTCCTACTTTCAAAGTCAGAAGGGGGGGGGGGGATGATAACCAACCGTAGAGTATACACAATCTAATGTCCATGAAATGAGACGAAATGAAATGCAGAGTGCCGCGATCCGCAAGCCACCACGAGAAACGCAAACGGTTCTCTCGCGCCGAGCAGCGCGCCGCTCTTTAGCGGGGGAGGGAACGCAACCGAAATGTGTGTCACTTAATAATCATCAAACACTCTGCACCACCTGCAACGCCAAACAAAAGGGCGGCAGCTTTGAAAATATCACCAACCACACCGAAAAGACGGAATAAAACTCCCTAAACTCGCCCCGCGTGACTCCGCTTGCCGGCCGGTGGCGGGCGGCAGCAGCCCCCCGCCCTTCCCCACCTGCCCCAAAGAGGAGTGAGTGGAGCTTCTTTACCGTTGGCTCTGCTTTAATTTGCCGGCTCGCTGCACCCCGCCCGCAGCCGCTGCTACTCCGTTCCGTTGCCGCAATCACACGATCCTTTTGGCCTCAAAGGGACTTAAGCCACCTATGCAAGGATCCCCGCCGGGATCCCCCTCCCGTTTTGTTTTGATCCCCCTCGCTCCCCCTTCGGCGCGCCTCCTCCTCCTCCTAGACCTTTCACCGTACGGACGAGGCCGCCGCCGCCGCGCTCGATGGGCTTGTTGGTCTGACAGCCTATTTATCTGTGTGGCCACTGTGTCAGCAGCCCCTCCGTGCCCCGCCACGCCCCGCATCGCCCCCGCCCCCACTACGCTCCGCCACCCCACTGGGATTCTTGCTGCAGGGCCTAAAATAATATCCGATACCGGTCTCGGCAGCGGTGCGGCGGGAGCAGCCGTGACGCGGACGACGACGCCGGTCTCTGGCGAGTGAGTCAGCAATGACGACTCGCCGACTGACGACTGAATGACGATGGTAGTACGGCGACGGACTGACGGCCGCCAGCTAACTCCGGTCCGGCCCGGACTCGAAACGAAAATAACTCGTGGACGCCCCCGTCAGAGGACAACGCATTCTTGGACGCATCACTGCCTGACCTGACCCAGTTCTAGCTCGTCTTTGATGGCAAGACCCCGTGTTATATCCATCTGTGATCGGGTGTTCCAGGTAATCCAAAATAGAGCCCCGCAAAGAGCGAGCTACGCAAGCTAAATGCCTACCCCGACCCCCCTCACCCGTGAAAGAAGGGGTCTAGATCGCGTAGCTCGCTCTTTGCGGGGCTCTAATCCAAAGCAGAAGTAGAAAAAGAACAATCTCACTGATTTCTCTATTTCCGGAATGGCTTTGATTGATTGGTCGGGCTGATCACACGTGTCTCCGCGACCTTTACCGTATGAGAAACTGTAAGCTCAGTTTCGAGCTCCCCTCTATATTTGAGAGGTTAGAATCGGACCAAATTACCATGACAACTTCTCATACTCACTGGACGAAAAAAGATAATTCAGTGAGCATTTTCCCACTTTCGTTAAAGATAGCCTGGAACATCCTATCGGAAGGTGATGGCTCGGGAACACTACTTTCTCCTCCGCTGTTTCCCGTCTGTCTCACCGCAGAGTAGATTATTAGACAGTTGAACCGCCCCTTCCCCGCAGCCGCCCCGCCCGAGTTTATATTGTGTCTGTCGGGTCGCGTAGCGCTGCTGCTGTTTGCTGTCCGTCTTGGCAAGGGCTGAACTCCGATGCCAACAGGGATCTCGGCCGCTTGATTTAGCGATCGCGCTGAGTGATCCCGTCGCATATCAAGCCTCATCGGGGCCGGGCGGCCGGCGTGTCCATTTCGACGACCCACTCGTCGTCCATTTCACGTGTGACTCGCAAGACGCGCCTCTGTCGGCGCGGTAATGGGCCGGAGGGACGGGATTTACGAGGAGATAAAAAGGATTTGAAATGCCGCGGTGGGAAATACGGAGCGAGGCGTTAATCCCTCTAAAATGCCTCTTCCATAATTTAGCCGGCGACCATAACTCATATACGCCGGGGGGAGGCGCCCGGTCGGGACGGCCATTACTCAAGTGTGATGCTCTGCGACATGTGTCTCGATTTGCTCCTCCCAAGTGTGCAACACGTCGAGGTTACGCACTTGCAAACAATATTTTCGCTGAGCATCCTTTACCTCGGCACACGACACGTAGCTGGCCAGGACAGGCCAGCGTTTGTGTTTTGTTTTTCTTTTTTCGCTTTTCTCTCCCGCTCGCGACGTTTGTCCCCTCCTCGTTTCTTCATGAACGACTGACTCTGTGACGACGTGACGGAAGCCTGCGGGGCCGGGCGGGTGACGGAGCGTGGCGGCTCGTGTGATGCCCCGTGACGGGCCGTGACGGCGCGCGGCGTCACGCCAGCCCGGCCCCAGCAGCCCCTCTCGGACCACAAGGCCCCCTTTCCCTATTTCTAAATAGTTCTTTCGCGCTAGTCTTTCACTTTGTGTTCGCGTCTTTGTCCTGGTGACATCTAAAACCTGAATGTTAACGAAAAAACACATTGTAAAACAAAACGCTTATTTTCTTATTTTACATGAATTATACAATGTGAATTTCATAACTCATCTGCTCTCAGTATACAACAGTTGTTTTGATTTCTGATGTTGTCTGTTGCAGTCCGCCGTGTCCGACCGTGGAGGCCAGGGAGCGGGTCCAGCCATGAAGATGAGTAAGGTGGGGAACCAGACCAACTCGCAGGACCCGCAGGCCGTCAACTCCAGGGTGTTCGTGGGCAACCTCAACACCTTCCAGTGCTCCAAGGCGGAGGTGGAGAGGATGTTCCAGCGATACGGACGCATCGCCGGTGAGTCCCTTTGAGAATAAGGGGGAAAAGTACCGTGAAAAATATACTTCTCAATTCACAATATTTTTAAAAAAAATTCCGATTTACAAACAATTTTGTAAATTTACGATCTGTATCGTAAATTTACGACACACCTTTTCTGTTCCTCAAAGAATTAGAAGTTGATACGCAGGCTCATAATAGTTCTGAAAAGCTTACAATTTGAACTCGTCACAATAAAACATATCTCATGAAAAATTTTCACGTTCAAATATTTGTCACACTGAATGTGAATATACTCGAGGATACTCTAATTTTCTAGTGAGGCTGTCAGCCACCTTGCAGGCGAGTATGTGTGTGCTGAAGGTGCCTGTGTGCGCGTCTGTCGCAGGGATCTCCATGCACAAGGGCTACGCCTTCGTGCAGTTCGCCAACCCCCTGGACGCGAGGAGCGCCTGCCTCGGCGAGGACAACCGGGTGGTGTTGGGCCAGACCCTGGGTGAGCATCATCAGTGAGCCTAACCTGCCATCTCCCCCGACGAGCAGCAGCAGCATCAGCAGCAGTCGAGGAGGACAGAGCTGGTCTGGGCTCCGCCACATCGCGCGCTAGGATATAAATACGTGGCCAGCAAGGTACATCTCCCCGCCACGCGACGCCACCTCTTCACCTCCGCGCCCGCAGCAGGAAGCGCAGCAAACTCTGTCCTTTTCTCTCTGTAGCTTTCAGAGAGGGAGAGAGAGAGGGGGAGAGAGACGCGGAATGGTGAAGAGAGGGGTGCTACCTGCCGTCCACGACAGCATGAAAAATCGACTGTTCATCCGCTTGCATATCGTGGAGGAGTGTACGTCGCAGTACCACCGCTAAGCTCTGGCCTGGCAGGGCAGGTGATTTGTTCTGCGCGAGGACCAGCCTCCGCCGTCCTGCTCAACCACCACCACGACCACCTCCCACCTCCCCTCTCCCCCTCCCTAGGAAGAAAATATATAAAAATAAATCGCAACCACGATGTTTGTCAGCCGCGTCTATTTTTCGCCCCGCGGAATTGTATGTATCCTCCCGTTGACTCCCAAGTGGTCTGTTTTCCGCACGGTTCGGCACCATGTGTTCCCGAGCACCGCGACGATACTACTGTCTTCTCCCCCCCCCCCCTCTCTCTCTCTCTCCCTAACGCACGCACACACACTCTCTCTAAGTCTTCGCACTCGCTCTGCTCACAAGCCGCTTCTAAATGGCTCGAGGCAGAAGCTCTGGGCGCCTCGCGCCTCAGCGAGAGACGAAGGCGCGCGCGCGAGTTTCTCTCCAGCCCCGCGCGGCCCAGATCCCAGATGGAGGTTCCAAACACACTTACACACACGAGGCCAGAGGGGGCAGGTTGGGGCGCACACTCACACACACACACACAGCCACGACGCGACGGCCCGGGAGTCACGCTATCTCCGGGCATTCACCACGGTGCCGGGGCTCTATTCATTTCTCAGATGAGGTGTGTAAGCCCCGTCCCGCCCCGCCGCGCTCCGTCGGGCCACGCCTTTTTTGTCCGTCAGCCTGCAGGTTACGGCACATAAATATCCGGGATAGCGGCGGCAAGCAGCGCGCGCGCGCGCGCGCAGAGCAGAGCAGGGGCGCCACCAGGGCTGCGCCGGGGCGCCAGGGGGCGGCTGTCCCGCGCGACGACACAGAGCGAGCCGTGGCGGGGCGGGGCGGGGCGGGGTGGGGCGTCGGGCGGGCGATGTGCAGGGTGATAGCGCACATCACTCAGCCCCACAAGAACACACCCGCGGCCGCCCCCACGGCGGCAGCCCCCGCGCCGACAGAGTCGTATATTTGCCGCGCCTCGGGCCTCCTGCTCGTGTGGCCCGCGCCCGTGGTTTTTGACGCGCTGCCCTTCGCGTCGTAGTCCCCGACCTATGGGATGGGCCCTACCCTCCCGTCCCATCCCCCATCCTTGCTGCCCCTCGTGAGGTCTCCCCGGCCCGGGCCCCGCGGCGTCGAAGCTTTTAGCGGAAACGGATCGCGGGCCCAGTTCACATGAGGGCGGGGGCCCGGGGGCCGCCGGAGTCCCACACGCTGTCCGCACCCCGTTCAGCCGAGGCTTGTTTTGTTGTTATCGTTTTCTGGCCCTAGTTTTTGGGTTGGGGCCAACGGGATGAGGTGTGGGTCGTATAATACCCTGTCGTGCGTCCCCTGCTCTCTCTCCTGAGGAGGAAGCAGCAAGGCGCTCTTTTACCCTCCCCTTTCCCCCCTCCAGCCTCAAGCAAATCCGAAGACCGATACTTCTGGGCTAATGGCCCGTGTTAATTAGGATTGTTCGGCTTCGGGCGCGGGGCGGGCTGCAGTGCGGAGGTGTTCTCTGGCTCGGCCGCCGGGTCCCCCGCGCCGCACAGCGAGCGTGTCCCTCCCCTTCATCCCTCTCCCCACCCCATCCCCCTGGGGGGTCGCTTTGGCGCTCCCCTGGTAGCGTTCGCACTAACTATTAATTTTCGTCCCCAGTTGACGGTGCGCGTCGCGTGGCGGCCGCGGAAGCATTCTCTGGAAACTTAAGTGTGATCCGCAACAGTTATAAGTGCAATACTATGAGTATTACACTTTAAATTGTAGTACCACTCATGTGTATCACTCTTTAAAGCGTAGTACAGTACCGCACATGAATCACACAGCTTCCATAGCAAATGTTGGTGTAGCGTAGTACTACACTTTTAAGTGTGATACATACCGACGTGTGCCTGCAGAAGTGGCGTATCTGTGAAGAGGCGCGCAACACTGGCGGATCTGCGCCGGCCCGGCCAACACTGGCGGATCTGGGAAGGGACGGTCATCACGGGCGTATCTGCATTTCGGCTGATCTGCTCAGTCAACTTCGGAGGCCTATTCCTCATCGTAGGTATGTCGTACAGTATTGACTGATGTCTCATTGCAATGTTTATATCCTCGTGATTGAGTTTTGATATCACTCAATACTATACGACATACCTCCAATGAGCAATACGCCTCCAAAGTTGACTGAGCAGATCAACCGAAAAGCAGATACGCCCGTGTTGGCCGGGCCGGCGCAGATCCGCCAGTGTTGGCCGGGCCGGCGCAGATCCGCCAGTGTTGCGCGCCTCTTCACAGATACGCCACTTCTGCAGGCATACGTCGATACGTGGTATTACCCTTTAAAGTGTGATACTCATTTTATTGCACCTATAACTGTTGGACAGTATCACACTTGAGTTTCCAGATAATTCGCAGGGCTGCAGCAAGGAGGCGGTTGAAGGGGTGCTCGAGGAGTCGGCGTCTGAGCTTCTGCCCTGCCTACGTGGAAATTTGAGACAACGCAACAACGCCTTCCCTCCCTGTACTCCATCTCGTGGAAAGGCTCGACACCTGCGGGCGCGCAGCAGGCCACTACCACCACCACCACGCCTCACTTGGTGGGCAGCAGGCGGTCAATGGGAGCGTGGCGGGGCGGGGTGCGGGGGCGTGGGACACGGAGCAAGGCAAGATGGGGCGGGGCGGGGTGTGGCGGGTCCGCCCCGGATATTGGAGCAAACACGAGGCGCGGGGGTCGGCCGTCCGGCCTCGGGGCGCCCGTAATCCTGACGCTTGAGAGGGCCGGCCGACCCGCGGTGATTGCTTTTCTCACGACATTCTAAACAACAGCGCAAACCAAAGGAAGCATCCCTTTCCTTTGCACGGGCAACAACGAGTTTTTTTTTGTTTTGATTTTTTTGATTGGTTGTTTTTAATTTTTTTTTTGTCCCGCTTCACACTTTAAGATTTACATACATGAATGATAAACGCTTTTCGGAAAAGACAGGATTTTGTCGTTTTTCAAACCTGTGTGAATATGTGTGTCGTGTGGAAGAGGGGTTTGGGGGCGGCTGGGGAGGCCGGCCCGGCCCCGCCCTGGAAACGCATGGGTGGGAATGTCACACATTTGTAGGTATGTAAATACCCACACGGTAAAAATGATGTCTTTAAATAGAAGCAGATTGCTTGGAATCCAAGGCATTTTCCCTTGAATTTCAAGTAATCTTCTTGAATTGCAAGATATTAAATAAGGTGTGAATTTTCCTGTGTGTCTTTCACAGACTTGTGCCTACGTGTACGAACATTGTTCACTCACCTACAAGTGTGCAACATTCACACACTTGGGTTAGCCGCGGCCCCAGTCGTAAACAGTGGTGTGCAGGACCATTACGGAGCTCTTCGCCTAATTACAGTGGAAAGCCCGGCCCGTGGCGGACGGACACGGGGGGCGGGGCGGGACGGGCTGCTGACGCGGCCAGGTGGACACGCCCTCCAGTCCTCCAAGCGCGGGGAGGTGTTTACGCCCAGGAGGGATGAAAACAAGAGGCTCTTCCATTATTTTTTTTCGCGGGGCTTGTAACTTCCGCAGTCTGGGAATATAGTGTCAGCCTGTGTACGCGTGCGTGCGTGCGTGTGTGTCTGTGTTGGTGTGTGTGTGTGCGCTGTATGTGTGTGTGCGAGTTTGTGCTCGATAGGCCCCCCTCTCCTTTCCCTCCCCGCCGCGGCGCCTCGGCAGAGGGAGGAGAACGCGTGACCGGAAACCGGAAGTGGGCAGTCACGACTCCGGGCGGAACTTTTGCCGTGGCCGGGGCCGGCTGCTAAGTGTCGGAATCTTTCCAATCAGTGCAGGAAATGACAGCGCCAGTTCTTCCGTCTCCCTCGCTCTCCGTACTCGACGTGGCCATGCTCGCTCGCCCCCTCCTCCTCCCTTTTTCCGGACTCACTCGCCTCGGACTCGCTGCAGAGATTCGCAAGGGAAGAGAGAAGCTACCTCCGAGAGTGTTTGTGTGTGTGTGTGTGTGTGTGTGTGTGTGTGTTTGTGTGTGTGAGAGAGAGAGGAGAGAGAGGGAGAGGAGAGAGAGGGGGAGGAGAGAGAGAGAGGGGGCGAGAGAGAGAGAGAGATAGAGAGAGAGAGAGAGAGAGAGAGAGA